TGAGTTTACGTCCCGACTTAAATGACCAAGCTTAAGAATCAATAAAAATGGCAACACCCAAGTGTGCCCTTAAATCCTTAAGCTTGACTCACACCCACACCCAACGGGGTGCTTAGCTCATAATGAAATTAGAAAACATAACAGAAATAGAAGAAGAAAGCTGCATAAGAAATACTTGAACTGAAATTAAATACTTACTGGTGCCCACAGAAGGCACACAATGGAGTGGCGAGAATAACAGCTAAGTTACGAAATTTAAATTACAAACTGAATATAAATTAGTTCTAATGCTACAAAGCTTTAAAGAAGATGCTCCAAGGTGCTGGTGGAAAAGTTGGTGTTGGAAAAGTTGATGTTGGAAAAGTTGATGTTGAGATGGATTGGAGATGCCTCAAATATATAGGGGGAAAGGTGGGACCCAAACACTTTGTCCAATGGGTAATGACCACCCACCACCACATGTCTTCTTCAATCTTCATCAAGTCACCTCCTCTTGAAAGGTTGCAAAAGGGTGAAGGTACAACCAATAAATGTGATGGAAAAGCCATTACAACATGGTACAATATGAACTCATCCAAGTCTCATCATCCCAACTAGGTTCAATCTTCCATGCAACCAAGTAATTAGATTTGAACTTAGCATTAAATCTCAATAATACCCAAGAATATGAATATCATAATTTTGTTCAAATCCAACTAGATGCCAATTTTACCAACAATAAAGAGTTTTTTAGACAATAATTAAATTCTTAACCTTTCATCACCTCTTTACATATTTTGAACCAAAAAATAGAATATGAGCAAAATGGGTACCAAAGATACAATAAAATAGGGGTATAGAACAACAAATAACTCTAACAAAATGAGAGTTATCAACTTTGTACAAACCCATGACTCATAAAATTGAGCAATTAGTTCATTAGGATTCATATAGATCGTCAATTTATAAAAAAGTTATCAAGATTTAAATTTGGATTAGCATTTCAGTCCCATCCAGGTGCTCGGTGATTGTTCTTTGTTCGAGTTTTTCCAAGTTGTCTATCAAATCATATATTTTTGTGACGCTTTTTCGTTCTTGACACTTATATAACCAAATTACATGTAAATACGAGGCATGAGAGAAGAAACTATGACCAACATCAATCAAAACCCCCAAAAAAAGGTTAAAATAAAGATTTTCAAGGCATCATCCAAGAAACAAGGCATCAACCTCTGTTCACCACATTTGAAACAGTTCATTGGTTGTTGTAAAAGTAAATATTTTCATAAACCAGTTGCTCGAATTTCTGACTTGAGCACCATCTTTAGCCATTTCAGTTCTCGGGATCTTACTCGCGAAAATTGAATAAAGAAAACTGAATTACTCTAAATATAGAATAAAAAATATTCTTACCAGAACTGGTTGTAAAAGTAAATATTTTCAAGAGCTTCAAGGCTATATCATTTCGCCCAAACCCTGAATAAAACGGTTAAGGTTTAGATACAAGTGAACAGAGAAATCTTGACAAAATGTATTAGTTTAGACCGCAGCTTCGACCTCCTGTTTGGCACAAAGGATTGTTGTTTGAGACAACAGCTCCTTGATGATGTGTTCTACTTCAGTTCCCTTACCTCTATTGTTGGAACATGATTATATTTATCACTGTTACTTGTTTGGCTTTGTCCCGGTAGGAGGAGTGAATAAAGTATTTTTATTTTATAAAATAAAATGCATTTGAATTATTTGGTCCTAAGACTTAACGACAATTAACTTTTCCGTTAACTTTCGGTTAACATTTTTCGGTTATTTTCGGAAGGAAACCGAATTGGGTATGAACCATTGCACCTTTTCATGAAGAATTGCACATTTTCATAAAAGGTTGCACCTTTTGGGACCTTATAAATATTGGTATTTGTCTTTCTTTAAAAAATAATATCATTTTTCATCTTCTTCACTAAATCACTCTATACCATGATCACGAGAAGGACTTGTAGGATCATTGCCTACAGTTCTTAGATTCAAGGAGGTCCTGGGAGGGAGTTAGCCTAAATCCATCATCGACCTAGTGGGGGTCGACGGTGGTTGTGGATGTGGTGAAGGAGGTTGTTGTAGTAGATAAGGAGTTAAAGGTAGCGAACGTAGGGCAGTGGTGGTGGCAATGGACGGTGGTGGTCGGTGGTCGACTATGGTAAAGGTGGCGGTGGACGGTAGTTGTGGAGGCGGTGGAAGATGTTGTTGTACTGGAAGATGAGGTGGAGGTGGCCTCGATGGGCGCAGCGGCCGAAACTAGCGGTGATGACCAATAAAACAAATATCATATTAAGGTTATATATCAAACTAGAGTAGATTAATAATATTTTAATTTTTATCTCATTTTTGTTTTACTTTTTCCACATATTTTGGTGGAACAAGAAAAAACCTCTTTTATCTCATGATGTCCCACCTTGTCCCAATTATTGTCCCTGTCTCATGTCACGCCAAATGTGGGACATTGAGTTCTTGTTTTGTCTCATGTTGCGCCAAATACGGGACAATGAGTTTTGTCCCTTCCTATCCTATCTCGTCCCATGTACCAAACACAATCTTATTTAGCAAATATTTTTAACAAAGTTATGTTTAGTAATAAAACTGAAACCACAATGATGATATTTGTAACTAAAGTATATTATGTTTTTAGTCCTTGTGATTTGTTGAAAATATTTATTTTCGTTCTTATGATTTTGAAATTATGATTTTCATTTGTATAGTTTATAATTCATTACCTTTTTCGTCTTATGATTTAAATTTTATTGTTTTTTCATGCTATGGTTTACAATTATTTCTATTTTAGTCATTCATACTTAAAAATTAAAACTAGTGTTTTGACCTTATGGTTGAAAATATAAATGAATTGCAAATCATAGGGACGAAAAAAAAACGTGGCACCCTATTAGAATATGATTCTTAACTAGGAATTTTGTAGTGTTTTTTAATTTTTAAAATATTAATTATGTTAAAGACATCTATGCCCCTATATGGAAAAAAATGTACTTTTCATTGCAATCGGATCATTTTGGTAATTTTACAACCGTTTTAGTTAACATTTAACCTTCAAACTCAATCTATGTTTTCCTGTTGTTTCTTTACCATTTATCCCCATCGACAAAGAGAAGTATACACATCGATTCAATAAGGTAGAGTGGTACAACTATCAATTTGTTCATCTACGACAAAAAGGTATACACGGGTTTATCATCTAGGGCAAAAAGGTAAAGAAGGCATTATAACATGGATCAAAGAGAAACCTCTCGTGAGATTTTAGAATTTTGTGAGAATTTCAATTTACTTTTGTTTTTGTTGTGCATTTTCTCCTTCTTCGATTTTATAGTTTCTCAATTTGTAATTTTATAAGAAAATACAATCAAAATAAGCTGACATTTTTTAAGTATCTCAATCTCAATTTTCTTTTTCTCAAATTTTGTCTTTTTAATTGATGTAATTATTATCAAAACATTAAATTATTTAGACTATTCATCTACGTTTGTTACACTTAATATATTTTTAATTTTTTTTTTATCTCA